AATCGCCCTCTCCCACCCACCGTCACAGTTCACAAATTTCCCCAAATCCACGAAACTTCAACCCACCTGTGACAGTACAGGCAATTACCAATAGAATAAAGACCGACAATGCGTTACATGGGATATTGAATGACTTGAGATATGCTAACGCGCGCGATGTCTGAACAACATTTCGAGAAAATTTTGTCCATCGTCCGCTGAAAGTTGCAGGTGCGTTCGTAAGCCTGAAGGGCATTACATTAAATTCGAACAAACCCTGCTTTGTAACAAATGCTTGTCTTATTCATGGACCTCAATTTTCCAGTATCCGGATGCAAGAACAAGAATTTTGCCCGTCCAAGATTGTCAAGGATGTCGTCGATTCTTGGAAGCAGGTATCCATCTTTTTTTATTATCTTGTTTATTTTTCGGAAGTCCACGCAAAATCGTTCTTTCCGTTTTCTTTTCTACTAGAACGATCGGGGACGCCCAGCGACTATTCGATTTCTTCTCCGATGTAGGCGTCTTCAGGCTGGGAGACACGGTACGGTCGCTGTTTTATCGGTTTTTCGTACCCTGTTTCGATTCGATGCTTGACCGCCCTAATTCCTTTGAATTATAGGCAAATACTTCCCACTAAAATGTTCTTCTAGGACTTCTTCCGGTAGGATTTCCAGAAGGGTTGGTCGTGGACAGGCCGGATAAGCGATGCTGATGCAAGAACCGGCTAGAATTCGCCTCCGACATATGTAGGGAATGTAACACCGGCTACGAGAACCTATTCTCAAACTTTTTGTCCAAGAATTCGCGGTAATCCATCGGATAACGCCCACTTCGGCCGTTTTCGGAGTTCTCAACTGTATCACTTTCCATTCGAGCCGTAAAGGAAGTTGTCGCCCGTTTCATACTCGAGCGCATAATAATCTTCCGCTCAGTCGATTGGTGTAGGTAAAGGTAGGTTTTTCTTATATAGAATTGGGATCTTGTCTATTTTATGGTACCCAAAGAAAATTGCTCGGATCAAGTGAAAATGTCCGGGTCGGAAAAATCCGAACACCCAAATCATGACGGGACATGTGACTTATGCTTATGTCTCACAAGCGCACGACCTCATTAAATGTAAAGTATTCGCTTCTCTCTTGTAATTAGTAGCAAAATTATTTGTCTGCAGGTCGAATACCCTGATGTGTCCTGGCCTGCGAGATTATTTCATGAAGTAATTTTATTCATGGTATGGCTTGAGTTGCCTTGCGTGTAATTAGTTAGTCGTGCTATTCCCAAAGGTTTGTGTATTTAGTATAGTAGCATTCTTTAGTGGTTTGACTTTTTTCTAGAAAAAGCCCTTAACGAGTTTGATTGCGAATCCCCTACTGTGTCCTGACCTGTGAGATTCATGGTATGGCTTGAGTTGTCTTGCACGTAATTAGTCGGTCGTGCTAGTCCCAAAGGCTTGTGTTTGTAGTAGCAACTCAGCAGGCTAGACAAAACGCATTTGAATCTCAGGACACTCGCGGTCGATTGACACATGCTTGCTTAATTGCACCCCACACGACATTAGAAAACTTCAGGTAAAAATTTTTGACAAAAATCAAAACAAACTAACCTGTATTTCACTAATCACAAGATCTGATCCCGTGCATAATACGCGGATCGGGATCTACGTGATGACGTATCCAATTCCATACTACACGTTATAAATGGTAAGAAATTAAGGAATAACATGTACAGTGGCCTATCAAAAGTCACCGGACATCATGTGATCCCCAGTCGTTTTGCAAATAACACTGTTTGTTT